TTTACTTTCTATCTTTATGGATTTGCCTATTCAGGACATTTCAGATGAATGCAGTTATGCAATATATGGCCTTTCGTGTCTGGCTTCTTTGACTTAGTATAATGAATGAAAACATATGTTCTCAAGGTTCATCTCAAAGTAGCATGTATTAGTACATTGATTCCTTTTTATGGATGAGTAATATCCCATTGTATGGATATTCCATTTATTGGCTGTCAGTTCACCAGTTGATGGACATTTGAGGTATTTCTACCATTTTGGCTAGTATGAATAATGCTACTGTGAGCACTCATGTACAAGTTTCTAGGTAAATATAGGTTTCAATTCTTTAGGTATATAGTAGTACCTAGAAATAGAATTGCTGGGTCATATGGTAACTCTGTTTAACTTTTTTTTTTATAAGAGCAAGTTTATTTAATTTGTATTTATTGATTTTTAGAGAGAGAGAGGAAAGCATGGAGGGAGAGAAACATCAATTTGTTGTTCCACTTACTTATGCATTTATTGGTTGATTCTTATATGTGCTCTGACTGGGGGTTGAACCCCCAACCTTGGCATATCAGGACGATGCTCTAACCAAATGAGCTACGCTACTTGGCTGGGGCAAGAGAAAGTTATTTAGAAAGTTACAGAGGCAAAAGAAGTAAGGTGCAGGATAAATTGGCTCAGAAAACAAATTATAGAAGCAAAAGCTCTCTTTGGAGCTTAGGAGAAAGAGAGGCAAGGAAAATATCCCTGTGGGGAGGGGGTGGGGAAAGGTGCAGGCATGTTTCTTAGAGAGAGCTGCTGTGTTTAAATTTTTGAGGAACTGCCAATTCTTTCCCCAAAATGGCTGCACTATTTTATAACTCAAGTGACTTTTTGAGTTTCTCCTTTGTGCTTTAATTATGCCTTTATAAATTTTCTGCTTTTAGATATCTTGATTTCAGACTTACAAACTGAATATTTTCTGAAAGAAAATGCTTTTGTAATATCAGGTTTACCAAAATTAGTCAAAAGTATCTATCTCTACTTTATTATAACCCTATTTTTAATATATGGTATCTGTTCTAAAATATAGTGTAATAAATAAAACTAACTTATTATTATGTCAACAGAGTGGGAGGCTAAGCAAAGAGCTGGATTTAGTAAGTCACCATGTGAGGACAAAACTTGATGAACTGAAAAGGCAAGAAGTGGGAAGGTTAAGAATGCTAATTAAAGCTAAACTGGATTCCCTTCACGGTAAGAGCTACATAAAAGGTAGAAAAATGTCAATATCTGGTTGTTGAGGTCAAATTACATTAAGTAGCATATGACATATTTTCTAGTAAAAATTTGATGTTAGATTTATTTGGTTTTTCTTAATTTTTAAAATTTAATTATTTGAATAGTTAATATATTCACATCATTAAAAAATGATTGGCTTAAAATAATTATATCAATAAAAAGGGAGAATGAAAAGTAATGAATTAAGCCACTGATTTAAATGAGGAAAAATAACATCAAAGTAAACCAAAAGAAAAGAGAGAGAAAATCTAGCTGGAACAATTTTCATAGATGAAATAGAAAAATTGTCAGAGAGCTAGCTTCACAAAAAACACCAGCCCGGCCGGTGTCAACGGGAATTTTATCAAACCATTGAAGGGCAGATGGTGAATGCTCTTTAAACTGTTCTAGAACATAGAAAAAGAAGGAGCACATCCACACTCTTATTATGTATGATGTCAAAACCAAAATTATTGTTGTCAAAAGGATTCTAGCCCTAGCTAGTTTGGCTCAGTGAATAGAGTGTTGGCATGCCGACTGAAGGGTCCCAGGTTTGATTCTGGTCAAGGGCATATGCCCGGGTTGCAGGCTCAATCCACAGTAGGGGCCGTGCAGGAGGCAGCCAATCAATGATTCTCTCTCATCACTGTTGTTTCTATCTCTCCCTCTCCCTTCCTCTTTGAAATCAATAAAAATATATTAAAATATATATATATCCTCCAGTAAGGATTAACAAACAAACAAAAGATTTGTCAAATGCCCTTTCTGTATGTATGTCAAATGCAACACATTTGGCAAAATTTAACATCTCTTCTTAAGTTGATAGTAATCAATAGCTACTTCTGTAGCATGATCAGATATATTCAACTCAGCTACATCATACTTAATGGAGAAACACAAGTACGTATCATAAGTAAAATCAGGAGCAAGACAATTGATGCTCACCCTTACCACTATTAATTAAAATTTTTTTGGAGGTACTAGCCAAAACAATTATACAAATGAAAAAAAATTGAGGTGAATTAATTGGAAAGGAGGTGATAAAACCATCTCTATTTGTAGATGACGTGTTTGGAAAACCCAAAGTAATTGGCTGAAAACTTAGTATAAACTTCAGGAAAACTCATCAAGGTAAACTTAAACAGAAATCAGTATATTTCACATGTACAAATAATAGCCAGTTACAAGATATAATGGAAGAAAAGACTCCATTTGTAATACCACAAAAATAAAATACCAGGAATAATCCAATTAAGAAATGTACAAGATGTAAAGACAAAAAATTTAAAATACTCCTAAAAAACACAAAGATTTGAAAAAAGTCAGAAGACATAACATCTTTTTGATACAAAAACTCAACATGATAAACATGTCAATTCTCCATAGGTTAATTTATAAATTTAACATAATCCAAATAAAAATATGTACTTTTCCCCCCTGGTACTAGCCAAGTTAATTTAAAAGTTCATATGAAAAAGGAAACAAGCAAGGAAAGCCACATACCTCTGAAAAAGAAGAATGAAGAGGACTAGATATATTAGATGTTAAAATATATCACTATGCCTCAGTCATTAGAACTGTATGTTGGGTTTTTGTTTGTTTGTTTGTTTGTTAATCCTCATCTGAGGATATTTTTCCATTGATTTTTAGGGAGAATGGAAGAGAGAGGGAAAGATCAATGTGAGATTTCAATTGGTTGCCTCCTGCATGAGCCCTGACCAGGGCCTGGGCCGGGGAGGACCCTGCAACCCAGGTAAATGCCCTTGACTGGAATCGAGCTTGGGACCCTTTGGTCCACAGGCCAAAGCTCTATCCACTGAACCAAACCAGCTTAAAACTGTATGTTTTTGACATATAAGTAGGCTGACCAGTGGAATCAGACTAGAAATTCCAGAAGTAAAATTAAATACACATAGAACTTAGTTTGAATTAAAGGTGATATCTAATTTTTAGTGGGATAAAGCTAGATTAAAAAAAAGTTAAGTGTCAGGACAATTGGGTATCCGTTTGGAAAAAGGTACAGTTAGTTCTGTATCCTGTATATAAGTTCAAATAAAGATGTAAGTGTAGAAAATAAAATAATAAAAGCATCAGGTGACAACATAGGTGGATTCCTTTATTAATTTAGAATAGCCTTTCTAATAATGAATGAAAATCAAGGGGCCAGATTTAGCAGGTGGGAGACCCTTTAAGCTGGCCCCTGTGTCCTTGTGACTTGCCCCCTAGGTTGGTTATTTGGGTGATGCATTGTCATTAATAGAATCTGAACATTTACTCTTTGTGGAATAATAGTTTTTAATCTTCAGATGGCATAAGAACCACCTGGGGAGCTAGTTAAAAGTGCAGATAACTGGAGCTCAACTCCAGATATTCAGATTTTGGCGATGAGTAATCTGCATTTTAAACATGCATCTCTGGTCAATGGACTATATTGGACAAATGTTCTTGTAGGGCATTAAACTCCCTGCTGGTGAATAGACTTAGAAAACAAGTACCAAATACTCATTATCCTGAAATTAAGAATATCAATGAGAGGTAAACTGAGCTCATACCGTACTCTTTCAGGTCACCAGGCACACAAGGTAATTTCATCCTTGAAACCAGCCTAAGGTGTTTTGAGATTTCTTTCTCTTTAGACAACCTAAAGTTGTCTAATTGAAATTTCTAATTGAAATTTCTGATAATTTGAAGAAGGGTTTCAAGGATCTTAATTTGGGGGATCTTAATTTTTAAAGTAGGTAATACATTCACATGGTTTAAACTCAGAAAGACTAAGAAGGTATAGCAAAAAGCTCCCTGATATTTTTGTAAGTTGCCAGTTCCCACTTCCCCTAACACAATCCTTCCCAAGTTTCTTTATTCTTATATAAGCAAACGTAAAAAAAAGTTCTTATTTTTCCTCTCTTTGTATATATACACTAGCATACAATACACATTTCCTTTTGCCTTGTGTTTTTCCTTTAACAGTATATTTTGGAGGTCTTCCTGTATTAATACATAGAGACCATCTTCATTTTTTAAAAACAGCTGCATAGATTTCCATTACATGGAGAAACCATAATTTATTTAGCCAGGCCCCTGTTGATAGACATTTGTGTGTGTTTTTTCTAGTGAGCACTCTTGTACATATATTGCTGTGTACCTGTGTAAGATTACTTGTAGGATAAGTTCCCCACAGTAAAATCATTAAACCGAAAGACATATGTATTTGTAATTTCGATAGATATTGCCTCCCCCACAAAGGTTGTATTAGTACACATTCCCACCAGCAATAATTTCTCACAGCCTTGCTAATAGTATGCATCTTCAAACTTTAGGAGTTTTGCCATTCTGTTACATGGTATTTTAGTAAAGTTTTAATATATATTTCTCTTATTTTGAATGAGGTTAAGTGTCTTTTCATATATTTCACTGGTCATATCTTTTAGGACTAAATTTTGTAACACATCTTTTCTTTATAAGCAAAACTCCTAGAACAGTGCCATACTAATAATTCAGTAAAAGTTTGGTTGAACTAAATTTAGCAGTTTCTTCCTTTCTTGCATGACATACTATCCCAAGGCTTATCTTGTATTTACCCTGTGCAGCCCAGGAATCAGGCATTTTTGTGAGCATTTCTGTTTGTTTTTTAGTCTGAAATTATATTACAAACCAAGGGCTGACACTAGCTGTGCTCATTGCTTCTGGAATATATATTCTTCTTGGCACTTTCATCAGATAGAGTTAGGAAATACATGCATGTCTATACACATATACAAGTATGCACATTTGTAAACATATACATATATATACACACATGCACATATATATGAAAAATACATGTACATGTACATATTTTAGAAATGATAAGGTCACACTGATAGTACTAATTCCCATCCATTTCCACAGGTTTCTTGCCTTACATCACTCCATATTTGTATATTCCTTTTTCCTAAGTGGAAACCCTGACTTCTAACATAGTTACCTATTTTGTTCAATTCTGTAATACAATACAGCCAAGAATCACTTCACCCATTCAACTATAATATACTACTGTAGCTTACTTTAAAAAAATTGTTTACAAAGAAAGACAATTGATGTTTCTTTAAAAATATCAGTCATTATTCAAATTAATTTACCTGAATTAGACTTTATTTAAAAGATTCATTGGAGAACATACAAAGACTCTTTCATATAAATTTTAGAGCAGTTCTTTTTAGAAATTCTAATTAGGCTTTGATGAGGGCAGTGTATTAGAATGTATCTAATGAAAAGTAGGGAATTTCATAGTTTTATGGTAATAAAGAGTTTTTGCTATTAATTACACTGATGGTCAACTAGTCTTTCTAGAAATAACATTAAAATGTACACATTAGCCGAAACCGGTTTGGCTCAGTGGATGGAGCGTCGGCCTGCGGACTGAGGGGTCCCGGGTTCGGTTCTGGTCAAGGGCATGTACCTGGGTTGCGGGCACATCCCCAGTAGGGAGTGTGCGGGAGGCGGCTGATCAATGTTTCTCTCTCATCGATGTTTCCAACTCTCTATCTTTCTCCCTTCCTCTCTGTAAAAAATCAATAAAATATATTTTAAAAAAAATGTACACATTAAATCTGTTCCATTCTGGATTCAAGGAATTATCTTTGCCCAGAATAATAAATTATGCAGTATTTTAAAAGAAAATATGAACCCTTAATCTAAAACTTTGAATTTTGTTAAAAAATCCACCAGGAATAAATATGAGTGCTTATTCTTATATATTACTTATATTAATGTTTTTAGCTTCTAGTAATTTATCACTTACAGTTTTCTCATTTTTTTTTTTCAGATACAGGCATAGACTACCATACTCTTCTAAAACAATTTGATCACCTAAACCACATGAATCCTGACAAGTTTGAATCTACAGATTTAGATATGCTAATCAAAGCAGTAAGAATAATTCCAAAAAATAATGTCTTTATTGTGCCTCTGAGGTTTTGTAAGTAAATGTATATAATGTTACATATATGTAATTTGGCAAGTAAATTCAATGAAGTTAAAGTATAACTTTTATATATTACTCTCTAGAACCATGGTCGGCAAACTGCAGCTCGCGAGCCACACGCGGCTCTTTGGCCCCTTGAGTATGGCTCTTCCACAAAATACCACATGCGGGTGCATGTACAGTGCGATTAAAACTTTGTGGCCCATGCGCAGAAGTCGGTTTTTGGCCTGGGCCAGTCTATTTTGAAGAAGTACTGTTGATATTTGGCTCTGTTGACTAATGAGTTTGCCGACCACTGCTCTAGAAATCTTTAAAGGGAAATGGTTTAACCTTATTAGTATCCTATATAATAAAAGGGTAATATGCAAATTGACCCTAATAGCAGAACGACTGGGAATTACTGGTCACTATGACACACACTGACCACCAAGGGGCAGATGCTCAATGCAGGAAATGTCCCCTGGTGTTCAATGTGCTCCCACAGGGGAGCTCTGCTCAGCCCAGGTTTGATTCCGACCAAGGGCATGTATCTTGGTTGCAGGTACTACCCCAGTAGGGGGTGTGCAGGAGGCAGCTAAATCGATGTTTCTCTCTCATTGATGTTTCTAACTCTCTATCCCTCTCCCTTCCTCTCTGTAAAAAAATCAATAAAATATATTTAAAATAAAAAAGGCTAAGGGACCATTACAACTGGTCGACCAGTTGCTATGACGCACACTGACCACCAGGGGCCAGACGCTCAATGTAGGAGCTGCCCCCTGGTGGTCAGTGTGCTCCCACAGCCAACCTCCCGTGGTCCCTCCCTTGGGCTGGCTGGCTCTGATCGGCCCGATTGCAGGTGAGGCCAAGGAACCCCACCTGTGCATGAATTCATGTATCAGACCTCTAGTAGATAATAATTTGTACATACAGGTTTGTAATTCCTTACCGACAATTGTAGAATCAAAAAACAAAACAAAACAAATACCTGTAAAAATTGAAACCTGACTTGAATTATAGTAGGGCTATTTATATTTTTTATTTAGTCTACTTAGTGTGAGTACCCATAGATTTTGCTAAAGACGTACTATTCTGTTTGATTGTAGACTCTGCAGGGATGTTTCAGAATGTGGCACATGTGCCATATTCCCTTTCTAAAAAATCTAGAAAATTCTTAATTTTTTTCTTCCAACTATTGAGATACAATTGACATATAACACTGTTTAAGTATACAGTATAATGACTTGACATTGTAAAGTTACCAAACTAAGTTTAGTTAACATCCATCACTTCATATAGTTATAAAAAAATGTTTTTTTTCTTGTGATGAGAGCTTTTAGGATTTACTCTCTTAGCAACTTTCAAATATACCATGCAACACTGTTAACTATAGTCATCATATTGTACATTATGTCCCAGGACTTATTCACCTTATAACTAGAAGTTTGTACCCTTTGATCACCTTCACCCCATTCTCCTACCCCTCTGCCTCTGGTAACCATAAATCTGATTTCTTTTCCTATGAAATTAGTTATAAGGGAGATCATACAATATTTGTCTTCGTCTGACTTATTTCAGTTATCATAAGGCCCTCAAGGTCCATCCATGTTGTCAGAAATGGCAGGATTTCCTTCTTTTTTATGGCCAAAATGACATTTAGCCTAATACCTTTTAGTGTACCTGTTGGCCATTTGAATATCTTCTTTGGAAAAATGTCTATTCAGGTCCTTTGCCTATTTTTAAATTGGATTATTTGTGTGTGTGTTTTGCTATTGAGTTTAAGAATTCTTTATGTATTTTGTATATTAACCCCTGGTCAGATACATGATTTGTAAATATCTTCTCCCATTCCATATGTTGTCTTTTCATTTTGTTGACTGTTACCTTTGCTGTGCAGAAGCTTTTTAGTTTGATGTCTTCCCTCTTGTTTCCTATTTTGTTGCTTGTGTTTTAGGTGTCATATTTAAGAAATCATTAACAAGACCCATGTCAAGAAGCTTTCCTCTGTTTTCTTCCAGGAGTTTTATAATTTCAGGTCTTACATTTAAGTCTGTAACCCACTTAGAGTTACTTTTTGTGAGTGTTGTAAGGGATTTAGTTTCATTCTCTTGCATGTGAATATCCAATTTTCCCAGCACAGTTTATTGAAGAGACAGTCATTTTCCATTGAGTGTTCTTGACTCCCTTGTCAAATATTAGTTGATAGAATATTCTGGAACTCATCTGGGCTCAAGGATTTTAGATAAGAATTTGCATTCCTCTCAGATTGTACTGTACCAAGTTACCAAACTAAATGTTCTTGCCTGGATGTTATGAGATTGAGTTAAGTGTTTAGAAACGAATCTAGTTTTCTACTGTACAGATTTGATCCAGTCCCTTTTATTCTTCTTTTTCAAATCAATATATATATATATTACTTACTTATGAGAAACTTATGAAACTTTTAGTTTCTTTGAATGCCTGCACTTCTGTTAAAAAAAAAGAAAAATGGACTGAAATAATGGTAGAATTTAAGAAGAGGAGTTTTGTATTTTTTTGGCCCTTGTATACTGTCTTCTATTAGAAAATATGCTATATGCAAGAATGGCTTTGTTTATACTTTTCAAACACACCTTTTTATTTAAATATTACATTATAGGCTACAAGTGATCTGGAAAACTATGATAAGACTCGACATGAAGAATTTAAAAAGTATGAAATGTTGAAGGAACATGAAAGGAGAGAATACTTAAAAACACTGAATGAAGAAAAGAGAAAAGAAGAAGAATCTAAATTTGAAGAAATGAAGAAAAAACATGAAAATCATCCCAAAGTTAATCACCCAGTAAGGATTATGACTTTATGAAACCATAATTAGATGAAAATACTTCCTTGAACCAGATAGTAGATTTTTATCATGTTATTGGTACTTAAATATTAATTCTTAATCCTGCAAAGTTCCTCATATTTATATATATTTTTTGCATATATACACATAGATTAGATTTTGTTTTGAGTGTTTTTTTAAAAAGTGTATTGGGGTGACATTGGTCTACATGAACGTATAAGTTTCAGGTGTGGGTTTCTATGTTACTGAATCTGTATGTTGTACCATGTGCTCACCACCCCAGTGTTTTTTTTAACTTGATTCGCAGGGAAGCAAAGATCAGCTAAAAGAGGTTTGGGAAGAGGCTGATGGATTGGATCCCAATGACTTTGACCCCAAGACATTTTTCAAATTGCACGGTAACATATTTGATACAAATATTAATATTTATATCTGCTGTTTGAAAAATTATAGTTGCTTTACTCTTAATATTTCTGCCAAGGTCTACTATTGAGTTCTTTTGAGAGTAAATGTGTAGAGTCTTTCTCTAGTGTAATATAATAGTCTTTATTGCTGATATGCTGTATAAAATATTTTGAGCCAGTAGCTGTGTCTTTATATCTGCTTTTACTGGTAAATCACTATATGACCTATTATAAGATTCTTTGTAAAATGAAGGTATTTCTGCGACTAGGTATGTTATATCTAACAAGTTTTATGCGATCATATTAAAATTTACTTTCCCTCATAGCATATTGCTTTATATTTTTGGGGAAAAAATTGATATATTTCCCTAAAACCTATGATGAATTATCAATAAATGAATTTTTATCCGTTGGACACATCTGAGGCTTCATAAAAAAAGAAGAAACCTTTTTGGGAGCATATTGGTATTTCATATCAGTACTGCTTTGCAAACCATTTGTAAATAGTTGTATTTAAATTATTTATTTTCTAAGGCATTAAAATCAATTTTTTGCATTGGGACCTTTAGATGTCAATAATGATGGCTTCCTTGATGAACAAGAATTAGAAGCCCTATTTACTAAAGAGGTAAATGAGATCATTAAGTATTTGGTTATTTTGCTCTTTCTTTTTCCCTTTATTATCTTTCTTTTATGTTGGTTTTAAATTTTTCTTTGTAGTTGGAGAAAGTATATGACCCCAAAAATGAAGAGGATGATATGGTAGAAATGGAGGAAGAAAGGCTTAGGATGAGGGAACATGTAATGAATGAGGTATGTTTTAAAAGTTTAAGATATGTTACAGTACTTCTATGGATTATTCAAGTTGTTGCAATAAATCTTATCACAAAATGGAAGACAAATACACAGAATAGGTATTTAATTGGACTTTGATTTTTTTTTTGGATATGACCTTTATTGAGCTTATCCACCAGAGTGGAAATAATGTCTGAACAAAACCAAATGTTTGTTACTATAACTTCTGCATCACAATTAAAATCCAAACAGTTTTTTAAAAACAGTCAACTCAATCAATACCCACTACTTCAGAATCAATAGCTTCTTTGAAGCCAAAGTAACACTTAAATATGGTTATGACTTGAATGCAGAAATTTGGTTGGTGGGAAAACTAATTAAACTTCCAACTTGCTCAAATAGAATTACAAAAAGGCAAAATTGTGTTTTTCACAGAGATACAGTCCACTGGAATCACCAACACTGGACAGCTGTTAGAGTATCTAGAGTCCTGAGATAATAAGAAATCCAGGCATCCTTTAGACAGTCATCTGTTGTCCTTCCTTCCCAATCAGAGATTGGTGGATGTGTGGAGTAACACCACCACCAGCAATTGTAGCCTTGATGAGAGAATCCAATTCTTCATCTCCACGAATAGCAAGTTGCAAATGACGAGGGGTAATACGCTTTACCTTTAAGTCTTCTGATGCATTGCCTGCCAATTCAAGTACCTCTGCGGTGAGGTACTCCAGAATGGCTGCGCTGTACACAGCAGCGGTCGCGCCTACACGTCCGTGGCTGGTCTCCTAGATTTCAGGTGTCGATGAATACGGCCCACCGGAAACTGCTAGCCAGCTCTCTGCGAGCGGAAAATCGCCTTTGTCTTGGCCTTTCCGGAGTCTTTCCCAGTCTTACGGCCAGCCATGTCGATTTCTGCTGAAGCTCAAGCGAGCAGGGCAGAGAAAGGAGGAGCCAGACACCCTGCAAGATCCCAGCCCGGACTCCCTTGCATCCCGATTCAAGCTGCTGGACTTTGATGTTTGATCCAGTATATTCAATAGAGTCCCTTACTGTGAATAAAATTATTTTGTAACTCATTTAAAATATTTTAAAAGATTAAGATGCCGCTGCATATCAGCTATAAAACATCTTTTTGGAAGTAAAAAAAATAATCTAGTCCAATATTTGGTATTTTAAATGGCTATTTTAGTTTTTGCTAAGAAAATCCAAAAACCCAATACCCAAGTGGTTGATAACAGCACATATTTATTTCTTGTTCACATTACTAAGCTGAAAACTCTAGTTGAGACTTCATAAGCAGGGTAACTAAAGCCCATTGTTTTGCTTCAGTGATGATTTTCACCTGGTATTGATGAACTGGGATTTCGGTTGACTGTTGACATCCCAGGTATCAAATAAATTTCTTTGGTTATTGCTTTTGTAACTGAATTTGCCATAGTTTACAAGAGCCATTGGAAGATTTGGAGGTTGTAACCTTTCGTGTTGATATATTAGGTTGTTTGTTTTTTAAAAATAATTGTTGAGAGCATTTTAACTTAAACTCCTTTACTCTTGGCTGAACAATTCTCTTACTGGAAAGATTATTTTTCTTGGCTAAATATTTGGTTTCAAGGGATTATACATAGTGTGGTGAGTCTAACCTGTTAGATCAGCAACTTAAACTTGGTGATTTTGGGGGTATCAGGGATATAGATATTTCACTGCATTTCCAAATTTGAATAATATAGAAGAGAAAAATATCTAAATTTTCTGATTTTGATATAATGTTTAGTGTTCTGTTTTGTTTTTCCCCTCTCAGAGTTTAATGGATGTTAGGCTAGCTCTAACTGCTGTATGTTTATGTAGTAGCATTTATTCGAAGACAGTTTCTAGTGTCTAAGTAATATGAGAAAGAGTTATTTGATTTTACTACATTTTCCTTTAATCAGGTTGATTCTAACAAAGACCGATTGGTGACTCTAGAAGAGTTTTTGAAAGCTACAGAAAAAAAGGAATTCTTGGAGCCTGATAGCTGGGAGGTAATAGACCCTATTTGAAATGGGATGTATGATTCAAGAAATTCCACATCCGCCTATTCTACTTTTAACTTTTATTCCCCGTTATGTTTGCATGTACAGTCTTACCATTTTGGTTTTTCATATAAAATATCACTTTTATATAATGAACTTGATTTCTTAGAAAGCTTATGGTAATTGATCTCTTGTTTGTAATCACATTGCATATTATAATTAGAAGTCTTTTAAAAAGTATAAAATAATGATCATTCTTGAAAATGAGAAATATAAATACATTTAAAGGATAAATTAGAAGTTACCTATAATTCTACCACCTAGAGGTAGACACTAAACTTATGTATTGTGTTATGCCAATTTAGAAATAGTTTATATATTTAGTATATGCATCTATATCATAGAGTGTATAGTGTATGATCCCATTTTTAATTTATATATGCACATAAATTCATAGCCCTCTCTATATATACTTAAAATGGCTTTACACTGTATAGATGACTGTGAGTTTGTGAAATTCTGTTTTTTTTAAATTATCAACATTTCTTGAACATGTTCCAACGTTATTGCTCAAACACATGATTTAAGAAATGACTCCTTAGCATGCAGTTGGGTGGTTGCAGCATCATTTATATAACCATTCCTCCGGATTTAGACATTCTGGATGCATCCCGCTTTTTTTTTTTACTATAATAAATAACACCATTATAACTATCCATTTGTTCATACATTTGTGGCATCTGTGATTTCCCTGAGATTAATTCCTAGGAATAGAACTATTCTCAAAGTTTATGAACATTTTTTTTTTAGTTTCTAAATATACCTGTCAAACTGCTCCAGAAAGGTATTCCAATTTATATCAAAGTTGCCTGTGTATAAATGAGTGCATACTTTATAAAAGTGGTTGAAAAGCACCAACCAAACTAGGTTGAAGAAAGAACATTATCTTTTTCTTTATAGAACAGAAAAGAAAAAGATTACCATTTTCATTAGGTTTTTAATTGTCCAGAAAATAATTTGAGATAGGGTGACCAACTGTGCTGGCTTACCTGGGACTGAAGAGTTTCCCTGGATGTGTTCTTAGGATATGGAACTTTTTAGTGCTAAAACCAGGACAATCCCAGCCAAGTTGGGACAGTTGGTCATCTTAGTTTGAGATTAAAGAAATCAGTTGCTTTTTTTTTAAGTTTTATTGATTTTTTACAGAGAAAGAGAGAGGGATAGAGAAAAAGAAACATCAATGATGAGAAACATCCATTCGTTGCCTCCTGCACGCCTCCTACTGGGGATTGGGCCCTCAACTAGGGCATGTGGCCTGACCAGGAATTGAACCAGGGAAAGAATTCCTGAATTCCCTTTGCCAAGATTTCCTATTTTACATTTACTTCTCTCCCTCACTTTTCCCCTCTATTTTAAATCTGTGTATATGTGTTTCTATATATAACATGTAATTATTTTTGAGAGTAAGTTGCACATGATACTGCTTTAACCTTAATACTCAAATGTGTATTTCTTGCAAAAAAGGATTTATATTATATAATCAAGTAAAATTATCAACCTTCTCCCCCCGCCCCTACCCACAATACTCTAATCCGGGGAGGAGGGGGAACATCTGGACACAGCCCAGAGATCATTTGGTCTGGCCCTGCCAAGGCATTAGGGGTGAGTTAATTAAATGTTGCACCAAATACAGCAGGCTACTTTTTAAGTTGCTAATTATGCCTGGCCTGCGAATGATGTCATAGATACCCAAAAGGCCCCGGGTGGAAGAAAGGTCCCCACCGCTGCCCTAGGAAATGAAGGAGAAGAGTGCGCTGGGTCACCCAGCCCTGAGCCATGCCTCCTCAGGAAGGCCTGCCAGGCACCGGCTGTCTGAATGCTGGGCTTTTAGGCAGAGCTACCAGCCCAGCCGTCCCTCAGACATAAAACAAGTGCCACAGGTTCCTGGGAGGCGCTCCTGTGATGCCCAGGACTCTGTGGCACAGGGTGAGAAAGCAGAAGGGGAAATTTCTGGCAAAAGGTCAGCCTGCGCCCCTCAGAGAGTCAACCAGCCTTTGCCCAGCCACGGCACTAGTAGCCCAGGGACCCAACCGCAGGCAGGAAGAGCTGGTCCCTGGGCTGGTTCGGCAAGCCCCCACCGACGTGTACCCACTGCTGGGCCCGCAGTCAGCTCCGGGTGAGCGGGTGCCGAGCGGCCGGAGCAGGCTCTGCAGGGCTGATTTGCACATCTCACCACGTTTGCACATCAATTTGAGGGTCTGTTTCCTTATGATTCCTAATTTTGATAGGAATATAGCTGAAGTGATGCTAACTAAGGACATCGTATCAGGAGGCATTATTAGTCCTGATTATTCCCTTAACTGGCAATATTAACTTAGATTATTTGGTGAAGGTGAAGTCTACCAGGTGTTTTCACTGTAAAGTTACAACTTTATCTTTTGTAATCGAAAAAATTTCTTGTAAAACCCATGATATTGCCAGAATCTTAAGTCAGCTTTAAAAAAACACATCATTTTCAATCATAAGTCTTTCCAAATACAATTTGTAAGCATTATTTTCATATCTATGGGTGCTTAATTATTTTCTCAGGATTACACATTCAGGTTATCTTCAGTCGTTTAGTGTTATTTTAAAAAGTGCTGCTTTCAACACGTTTTCCTATACAGCTTTTAATGTGTTTAGGGCTATTTTATAAAGTAGATTGTCAGTGTAGCATTATCAGGGTCAAGAGAATATTTTTAAAACTATTGCTATACTTTGTAAAGAATATTGAAAGAATTGCACTAATTTACATTTCCACTAATAAAAAATGAGTGATCTGTTTTTTGTTTTTAAAAATGTATTTTTAAGGATGTACTTTGAGACTTATCTACAAGTTGCATCCTCTGATCATTCTGGTCAGCATCAGTTGTTACTTGACTGTTGACAAATGGTGATTTTCTAATCATCATTCCTTCTACATTTACTTTTTGCCTTTGTATTGTAAGGAAAAGCTACCCTTTTCCTCTTCTCTACCTGTTCACTGTAGACTCCTGGATTCCTGTTTTATTCAGTAAGCCTGCACCCTTCCTATGACAGTAGGTCCTCAGGTTACGTCTGAGATCCATCCCTACAGCGCGATGTAACGTGACTTTCGCCATAAGTCGGAACCCACCTACATAAGCACCTACATCACTACATGGAGCACATACACAGCAGTAATGAAGTGAAACAGTAAAAAAAAATTAAAAGAAAGATAACAATACCTGACCTTTACTTGTGGTAAATAAATAGTAAGAAACATAAAGCACATATGTACATATGTCGAAATGACGGAACTTTTTTTTTTCTTTATAAATGAATGGGAGATGGCGATGTAACCATGAAACAACATAGGTTGAGTCCGAGGTAAGCCGAGGACTGCCTGTATTTATTTCGATACTTGGCTAGTGGGAGTTTCCTCAAACAGGTTTTTGTGGCCTTCTGGTATGTCCCCATCATTCTTTGAGGACTTTCTATCTTTTTAGCATAAGATGTTCAAGGTTCATCTTGTTCCTTCTCTGTCCCACCTCTGAAATGAGCCATTTTTTTCTGAGGAGTACTGCTGTTTGTTAGTTATTCAGTGGAGATTGATAGTACAGACCAGGAGCTGGGCACTGAATTGACTACTTGCTACGGAATTGTCCTTGCTTTCAAAGCAAGTCCTAGTCGGATAATAGAGCTGGGAATTTTAAAAAATTTTTAAATACATTTTTATTTATTTATATTATGAATACATACATATATACATACTTGGACTCATATACATAGACACACGCATACACATACCTAGACACACTACACACATTTATATTCATTTTGTATATTTCACTGTCAATCTATATTACAACTCATGAGTTCACACTATCCTCTTAAATTTTAATACAACACCTTCAATTCCAATACATTTTAAATTTTTATTTTTCTGTATTTCATACAAAACCTGGCTCCCATTTTCCACAACTATTTTCCACTTATTTGCTCAGTCCTAGCATAGTGAAAGCATTTTAGAATTGCTAATCCATGCCTCTAAAAGACTAAGACTTGTTTAGATTTTTGGTTGTTTTTAATTTGAGTGCATGTAGTCCAGATACTGTGTTCAGAAGTTTCTTGGGTTAGTTATTTTTTTCCCCTTCTCCCTTCTGTCAGTTATTTTATTCAGTTAAAATAAAAGTATTCTTTATTTGTTTCTGTTTCTATTCAATTTGGGGGATTTTTCTGTCCTTGTGGATTTTAGTTATTTGTGGTGTTTTTTGAGTGTGTAACACATTGAATGTTTCAGAAAAGCAATTCTGTACAAAATGTGTATAGAGAG